TGGGGGGGGGGGGAGAGAGAGAGAGAGAGAGAGAGGGGCAGACCTTGTCAAGGCCGAGACACGACATGGGGTCCAGTGGCTTAATCGGGATGTTGTTATTGGCCGAATTGTGCGAACTGTCCGAACTGGTGACGTCACTTTCTTCAGCAGCATCTTCGTTGTTATTCGTTCTCTGCACTGACGTCAGATTCTCATTGTCGTCTTCGTCTTCCTCCTTTTCGATGTTGCTTTCGTTGTCTGCTGGTTTCCGACCCTGTTCCCGGACCTCGCGTGGACGGTCGCCGGGGTCGCTGGCCTGTGGCGGCTTCGCAATTAGTTCCATCGCGCGATAAGGTGCTCCCGTCGCGGCTAATGGAAGCGGCACCATATCCAACGGCCTCTGAAGGCCGCTCAAAGCAAAAGCCGCCCTCGGGAGCATTTGCGGCGCACCGGGAGGCAGGATCGGATGTCTTCGGGCGAGCCGCGGATCGGCCCAAAGTCCACCCGCGGCGTGCAGACTCCAGATCCCATATTCCATCTGAAGTCATTCGAGATTACAGAAGACCAAGAAACGTGTCTCCACGTGACATTATACCTATTTAACATAGTAATTTCTTTCTCTTTACTTCTCGAATTTAGGAAGAGTACCTATCACTCGATTAGAAATATTAAATAAATATGATTAATCAATTTTTTATCGAAGCCAAGTAATCGATAAAAAATACTCAACGACTCGCGTCACTCCTCGTTTATGAATAGATCATCCCCCATTGATGGCTCGAACAATGAACACATCGCTTAATGGCCACAGGTTATACAACGTGTGATTTCAGTCAGAAATTCCTTTGGCCATCGCTGTAATGGAAACCAGTTGCAATATCACATAGCTGCCCATTGAACGAATCAGCAATAGAAACAATTGTTGGTTGACCCTAAGGACCTATTACCACCATATATGCTCCTAATATATGCTCAGCTATTTCTTTTAATTCATAAACCGCCCGTCAATCTTCGAATTTGTAAATTTACTTTTAATTAAATTCAGGCCTTTATCCTGCGTAACAAATTTAATATCGGATGCGTGCGTGCACGCGTTGCCAGTGTCGCTCTTGTGGCGGCATCTGGACCAGAGGGTGTTGGGAGAGAGGGGGACGCATCTTTCGATCAGAAACGCGTTGCGAGAGCGAAATGACTGGCGTCTGGTGTCTCATCCGAGTGGACCATAAATCTGTCATATTGTGATGTTGTCAGTCTGTAGGACGAGCCAATAATAAATGAGTGCCATAATGACAAGGTTGACTACCCGGGCATTGTAATTCCGAATGTCGTATTAATTCGTTCAAATAATTCTCTGATGGCTCTGGAATTGAGGTAGGTCATTCGGTAGCCATCCGAATGTAACGAATTTCCAAAAAGCTGCGGGAGATTCTCGAGGTTTCTGGGTTTTTTGACTCTTACGATTCCTTGACAATCCCTGAATAAAAAAGAGAGAGAGAGAGATACCAAGGTGCATCTCGTTCCCCGTCCTCCGTTCCCGGTTCCCCAAGCCCTGCCACTAAAGTGCCCCCCTCCCCCTAAGCCTCACGAATCGATTTGTTATTGTTTTTGTGTCTGCGGTGTTGGCGGTAGTGGTTGGCTGAGTGGGAGCCTGCAAGCTCGCTCTTGAGTTTAGGCGGCTCGTGCGGCGGGTCGGAGTGCGCGAGGAAGGAGCAGGAAGAGGAGGATGAAGAGTAAAGTCGGACTAGGGGGTGGGGCAGCCTGGTGAGAGGCTCGGTGACGCGGGGCGGAGGGCGGAGGGCGGAGGGTGTTACTGGGGTAAGGTGGCTAGCAGGGACAGGGACAGGGACGGTGGTGAGGTGCCACACTGGAAGCCGAGGATGGACTAGGGTGGTTTGGGGTGGCCCCAGAATGGTCTAGGGTAGGGGTTGAGGTGATGGTAAAGGCAAGGGATCTGACACGGCTTGACAGGTGACAACCGATTGGACCACTGACGTCACAGATCACTTGGCTGGCTGCGTGCACACACGATCACGCACGCCGAAGGCTTGACGCACATGCAGAAATCGAAATATTTTGCACAGGAAATACGGTATTTACGTGCTAACCGGCCGATAGCCCCGCGACGCCTCTATCTGGTTACCATTACACTCGGATGTATGAAATGCGCCAACATACACCATCCCCCCACAATAGCCCTATTTATGATTGGGCAAAATTGCTTTCCATGCGCAGAATAAAATTGCGTGGCGGAAAAATCTTCAAAAGTGGACGGAAAAATGGAGAAATAGGATGAATCCTGCCGGGATTCAATGATTTTTAAGAGCTGAACAGTCATTCATTGAAGGCTGAGGGTAACATTTTTTTTTAAATTTTCTCCCAGGAAAACCAAGAAAATTTACGAAAAATTAAATATGGCGAGGCAGCGGGCTTGCGCGCATTGAGAATCTAAGCTTTTCCAGTTTTACCGCGGAACATCGATGGCGCTTGCACCAAACTGCTGCAACTTGAATCGGATGTACCAAAATGGCTGACGTCAGATCATGCACTTCCGATAACAAACTTTTTGATGTCACATTTCAATAGAAAGGTAGAACAAATATTTCGTAAGCGTAAATTTTTACGGGGTTTTTAGTGGAGTAGCCAATATCTCTACAATTCATAGAATTAAAATCTCGCGAGATTTGATTGCTATTTTATTCTTGTGTTTAATACGTGGGCTACAAATTATCTGCAAGAAGAACTAAAGTAAACAGGTAGTATAAGAAATATTGATGTGCTTATTTTAAATGAAACAAGAGATTAAAAATCTTCTTAACGCAAGCACAGCGATGTTCCTTTTAATACGAGGGCCTGAAGTTTGCCGAGTGCGTTTTCAAAACTGAAAAAAAGTTATTCAAACAAAATCTGTAAAAAAACGTGTTTCTTGTTTAATGTGAAGTCCATACTTTGCCTGAATATTTTTGACTTCTTTATACTCTCCCACGAATTTATCCAAAGTTGCCATAAAGTTACATTGTGACTCTCCAGCAGAACCTATTGCTTTCTTGATTTCATTCAATGCACAGTTAATCTCTGTGAGTGTTTTCAGGATTTCCTCTATGCCTGCAGAATCTTTAGGAATGATAATACCCTTGCAGCATAGTGAATCCAAGGGTTCGATAAGACTCTTTAATTTGTTGAGTTTCATCTCCAGCTTGGACATATGCGCAATCTCAGCTGTATGAACACAGAAAACAAATGACCATGATGGAAACAAGTAAAGTTCGTGCAATAAGTTTAATCATGCATACATGCTTATCCATGCTCACCACAGCATACATCCGCATCCTCTACCTGTAAATCTAAATTATTCTGCAAGTATGCAAGACTCTTAACATCGTTTGCTCTTAGTCTCATTTTAGTCAGATTTTGCAAAACTAAATCCCGTTCCACACATATCTTGACCAACTGGTTAGTCAAATCAGTGCTTAGCTCTTTAACCTTCTTCTTCAATACAATCTCGCTGCATTCAGCTCGTAAGTATGTATCATATAATAAGCTTAGTTCAATATTACTATTATCTGTTTCTGGTTGCTGAGGAATATCTTGAAGTACTGTTGCTGAAGGCTGTAATGAGATCCTTGGTGTGATGCGGTTTCTTAAGCCTTTAAACATATTTTCAAGAAATGTGGTCAAATGTGTAATGCATCTCGCAGAAAATCATACAAATTATACCTGTTTGCCTATTATTAGATGGTAACAAGAACGAAGTTCGATTTGCAGGACGATTACCGTCAGTGGCTGCAGCATCTCTGATTCCATTTCGTATACGAGTTGGTGTCAGTGTCAAACGATTTCTGTAAAAAAATCTTCATTAATACTTTTAATTTTTTTAAACAAACATTGGTGATAAAACGAACGTTTTTACTCCACGCTTCTTGTTTGGAGATTGCAGTGGATCCATCCTGCAGATTACTTTCCGTTTGATCTAGTTTGATCCTACTCGATCCTAACTGTTTGTCGGGCTACTTACAAACTTTTAAACTGTGTCCCTTTTTTTTGTGCATCTTTTATTCCCTAGAACAACGGAGCTATAATCTAGAGGCAGGGATTTTATTCTGTACGAGGTCGTTCGTTCCAGTGTTTCAATGTGCACCGAGGCACGTAGGTGTGTTCGAAAATGAGCTGGAAGCGCTTAGAGCATCGTTGCCCATTATTAAATGCATTTGATCGAGATATAACGATACGCTTACGTTCTTCATTCAATTTCAAAGCACCTACAGTGCTCCGTACATATAAAAACGCTAGAACGAATAGATCTTGTTGTTGTTGCCTGTAATGGTTTTTATTATAATCATAATTTACATAAAGAAAACTAAGCCATTGGTTTTTTTCTTCTAGAACCGGTCAATACCGGGAGTTTAGTTCATAGTGAAGTATGTTGGTTTTATACCTAGACATTGGTGACACTGTGAATCACTATTTTTAAGGATCGATTCCTGTTTTGTGTATTCACTAATCTTACTAGTTGTTGCTGATTATTGCTTAGTGAAGATTTTATGATAAGACGTGATATTTAATTTCATCAACTCTTTCACGATCAAAATAAGCTGCCTGTATTTAAAAATCATAATCAATTAACCTCCTTCCTATTTATTGACTGACTTTTCATCTGAAAACATGGTGGTTATTATTACTTATTTTACAATACTCCAATACATTGTGCTTGACTCATTAATTCACAAATATTTCATAACATAATTATGTTTACTTACTATGAATTATTTTTCTTTTTTTAAGGATAAAGAAAAACGAGAAATACCATCTTTGCTCAGGAAAATTCTTGCCGTGGATGCTTACTTAACAGAGCAGTTTGTTCGAACCGCTGAGAAATTTCTTTTTCTTAGACAGCTCAAAGTGCATTCAAAAATGCTTGAGGTAATAACTTTAGTATTGAAAAATTTGGAACTTCAGAGAAATTTGGTAAACACTTGGTTTTAATAATCAGGTATCTTGCCATGGAATACCATGGATTGCAAGCTGGATAGCTCTCATATGGATACTCAATAGTAGTAGTTTGTACCAAATGCAAGTCAATTTTCTAATAGGTAAGATAATTGTAAATACAAGAATATCTCTTGTATTATAAGTATTTTCGTTTTCAGGGTTATTCCTTGATATAATTCTAATTGCTTTAATCAAATCAATAACAAGAAGAAGAAGACCTGCTGTTAATGACGACCCATTTGCAATAGGTCCTGACAAATATTCCTTTCCATCAGGACATGCTTCCCGTGCTACTTTCGTAGTTTATTTCTTTTTTAATTTGTGGCCAGTTAATATTATTTTTGTTCCTCCATTGTTGGCGTGGGCAGTCTCTGTTTGTCTCTCAAGAATTTTAATGAGGAGACATCATCTTTTAGATATTATTGCTGGAGTATTTTTAGGTATTTTTGAAGGACTTTCCATTGGCTTGACTTATCTAGAAAAGGACACATGCATAAGCCTGATTTCATGGATTACAGATGAAAAGTTGGAAGGTGGAGATTATCATGTATAAATCGACATATTCTTTCTTTTATATTTACTACCAATATATAATTGTGATTGTTGCAATCTTCCAGAGTTTTAAAATTGATGTCATGATTTAAAAAAATACTAGTGTAGTTAATTTTAGATTTTGTAAGTCTGAAAATTATCGCAGCTGTGATAATTGTGTACGCGTTAAAGTTCTGAATAAATATTTCTTGAAATAATTTTGGGAAATAGAAAATAATTACACTTCGTTTTTATTATTTTGAAGCCACTTTTTTTAATCGATTATACACAATGCCTTGAAGCCGATATGAACAACATTACTGCTTGTAATGTCGGCTAACAAAAAACTAAATGAGCTACTTTATCTCATAAATAGTGGAATGTATTGCAGATAAAATAATAGATTGCATAATATACAAATAAATAACGTAATTATCCGTTGGTACAAAGTCACTATCACATCTCAGAAATAAAACTTGTAATCTTGGTAAAACATTCCCCTGTTTGGATTGACCTGGCTGAAATGTAAATGCAAATATATTTGTTTCGTTTAATAATCTTTTACACAATGGGCCAAAGTTCAATAAAACCATGAATATTAGAAACATGGTTAGGTTTGAATAATTTTAAAACTGCGAAAGGCAGATACCGCTATTGGTCCATAGTGCAGAGGGCGCATTTAGTTGATCGTGAAAATTAAAAGTGTCCAAGCTGCTGCTACATAATAAGCGAATACATTGCATAGAGGACAACTCTATCACATAATACTATCGTTCATTTCCATTCTACGTCTTTGTTGACACTTCGATATTACAATCGTATTAATTGTGTTTGTCCTACTATATAAATCGTAAATATGTTCTACGATCACCCGTGCCGGTGCTTTTTTCTACATGTGTCGAAAATGGCCATCGCGGTCAACACGGCGTAATGAACTCATTCTCGTTCCAGCAACTCCTTGCTGATCATTTGAGTAAAAATAAAGAGTGAATCAGTGAATATTGGTACTGCCAGTAATAACACGCATCCTTTTTCAACAATGAACATAGCGAGGAATCCCGTTTTCACGTAGCTGTCAAATGCCATTGAACGAAAGTGATTGCACGACAGCTGTCATTTGGTTTGGGAAAGTACGAAAATTTCAAATTTTAATTCATGTTACGTAAAGATACAACGAAATGAGTATTAACACGTGATTCTGACAAAGAATTCGTAACGCTCTACCACAGGGGAGAATGGTAAAACTTGAGGTCGAGATGTGCGTGCTCGTTCCCGGCGACCTCCTGGCCGCACGAGGGTGACGGCGAGGGTTTCACGTTGTTCCCGCATTTTTCAGCCTCCAAGAGAATTGGGACAAATGGAGCCACCTGGTGATCCGGTATTGCCGGTGTCGGCACCGTTGATAATTCGCTCGAGCGCTGCTTCTGCTCTTCCTCGGAGTACAGACTCAGCGAACGAGGACGCTCCATTTTCGGGACCGGGGGAGGAATTTCACTAGAAAATTAATCTGGTCAACCAGGTCATCCTTGTGTACGAAGTCAATGTCGCCAACGTCGTCTAGACTCGATGCAATGGCAGATTCTCAAGTACGATTTCCCATTTAATCTTTGGACCCGTATCTCGCTGTCAAAGACTGATTGTGTAGCGTCATATTTAAGAATCAACAGCACATATGGATAAGTAAAAGTTTGTTAAGGTTTAGGAAAGTGGAACTGGTGTAATTGGTATGATCCATAGGACTGTTGACTGATGATAATGGAACGAAAGCGAGTTACTATTGAAACTTAGTGTTTTTGTTTATTGGTTGATTATATTAGTTGCTGGGAATAAGAGAAAAAAAATTAAGAAACAAAACTAGAAGAGAGAAAGGCAAATGAAATTAATATGTTGCCGTGCCGTATAAATGTGTATAACTCATATTTTATAACTTATCGATATGCATTATGTTTACACAATTTACAATGAAAATAAATAAAATCACACGTGCGCCTTTGAATAGATTTTCGATGTACTTTCAGTGTAGAAATATTACGCGCGTGTTTCTATTACAGCGTTCATGCTACGATACACGACTGCTTCAGAGAGTCCTCCGTGACATTTAACTAGAAAGTGAAAGGTGCGCCAAGAATCTTCTTATCTTTTCTATCGTTTCACGGATCGCCGTACTTTTGCATTTCCGTCATTTTCCCATTTTTTAGGCCCATTTTACTTGGTCAATTGCAAAGCAACCGAATCCCGGCGATCCGTCAAGATCGGAAGATTTTTCGGATCTCCACTTTTACTCGAAAACAGTGATAAGGAGCGAGAGAAAGAATTCTCTTAGCCTTAAACGATGGATCCATCGCGATTACTACTCACCCGGTCCGCTCGGCGGGCTGGCCAAGCACTGCGGTGTTATGAATAATCTAGAAGAAAGCGTTAATAGAAAATTAGTAATCGAGCAGCAATGAGACGCGAGCTGTCCAGTCCTTGCGAGTCCGAATGTCGGTTACTTGATTAACTCAATAAGCAAGAGATGAATCCTTGTGATTTTATTATCATAAAAAGCCATACTCACGTTGGCCATAGAGCATTGCGGTCGAGCTGCTGCGTATCTACCGTAGGAGCTGCGCGACGGGGCTCCATATTGCGCGCCATTGACGCTGCAACGAAAGTGAAATTAATGCAACTGCTCGAATTCGCCACAGATAGCGCTGCGATTGTTTCGATTCACACGAAAGGGATTTGCCCTCCCTCTCCACTCCCTCTCACGCACCTACCTGCTACTGGTATTGTTACTCGTTGCGTTTCCATCGGTCGACGCTTTCGCAGGCAAACTGTATCGGCTGCCTCTGGTCTCCTGAGTCTCATCGTCGAAGAATCCTTGAAATACGACGAACTTGTTATTCTGCGGAATTATCCTCGAGAGCCCGTAATACTTGTGAAGAAAAGCGAGAAATTTCTCGGAAGGCCGGTCGATCGCCAATTTCATCGGCGTTATGTTCTCCTCCGCCAGCATGTGCTGATAGAGGACGTTCCCACAGCCCTGAGATTAAGAGTCTCATGCTCTACCGACTGAGCCTACCGTAGGAGCTGCGCGACGGGGCTCCATATTGCGCGCCATTGACGCTGCAACGAAAGTGAAATTAATGCAACTGCTCGAATTCGCCACAGATAGCGCTGCGATTGTTTCGATTCACACGAAAGGGATTTGCCCTCCCTCTCCACTCCCTCTCACGCACCTACCTGCTACTGGTATTGTTACTCGTTGCGTTTCCATCGGTCGACGCTTTCGCAGGCAAACTGTATCGGCTGCCTCTGGTCTCCTGAGTCTCTGCAACAGAAAAGGCCATAACACGATAAAGCCGTCAGATGGCTGCAGCTCGACTCTATCCAAGGTCCTTCAGGAAGATTATTGACGCGTCGCTGTCGCCTAACATTGACCGCATTTTGAAGCTTCTTCTTGACCGGAATAACCAATTCGGGACGTGAAATGAGAACCGATTCGTAACTGCCGATGCTGCGTGACCATCGTTGTGCTTTTACGTGTCTGCGACGATCCAAAATAGGCAATTCGAAACGGACGACAGAAATGACGATTCAGCCTTGCGCTGTGCGCCTACGTTATTTCCTATATACATATTTTTCCCGTCGAGTCGCGAACATAACGAACGATTCCGTCTGTAGCCACGAGGGTCCCGCACTTTGTTCTCGTATTATCTTGCCGATAAAAAAGAAGACCAGGACACCATTTGGCTAGGCTATTCCGATCGGCTTGGCAATTACGCAGGAGTGTATTTTGCAAAAGTAGACTCCCTGTCTTTGGGCACGATGAGAATGGCCGCCGTGCTCACTACTCAGTGAGTGAGTAATTAGCGATGGGAACATTTAACAAGACAGCCACCTCGCGCACGTCAGGCGGTTCGATTCCTCTCAAAGGGATAATTACGACTCGGTAGAGCGGGAGGATTGCTGCTCCGTGTCAATTCTCACGTATTTTTTTAGCATCGTCGAAAACAAGATACACTGTGATAATTACGATTCGCAACCCAAGTGAAACTGAATCTCCTCGGGCGTTTCAATAACGTCGCGGTTAAAGCTAAGCTGGGATTTTTCGCTTGATATTTTGCTGCGTCTAGGGAAATATCGATTCGCGAGGAATAACGAGTGGCTTCACGCTGAATAATGTCCTGGGACTGAAATGGAATTGCGCTTACGGGACATTGACTCACCATCGTCGAAGAATCCTTGAAATACGACGAACTTGTTATTCTGCGGAATTATCCTCGAGAGCCCGTAATACTTCTGAAGAAAAGCGAGAAATTTCTCGGAAGGCCGGTCGATCGCCAATTTCATCGGCGTTATGTTCTCCTCCTGCGGATTTGTAAAAAGTTACATTAATTTTAATAATAGACAAGGATCTAGCGTCTGGAAGAAATGAAGCAACCTCAGAAGTCTAACTAGTTGCTGGAGTTCAGTAACCTCCTATGCGCTACCTTGGCCGATACACCCACCTATGCTCGGCATAATATCCCTTTGTCATGCCTATAATTAAGATCCTGCGTGAACCGTGCTCGATTTACCGTAAGACTACACATATTTAATCCGTCAAATAAGAATTTCAAAGTGTTAAGTTTCCGTTTGGTTTATAAAACGAAAAAAGCAAGATCGGTGGATCAATTTCTTGTTCGTATCGTAAGACTGCTATTAGTAGGATTAATCTTAATAAATGGCTGCTCGAGTACATCCGGCATTATCAATCAGGCGAGGCTGCTGCTTTTTTCTTTCGGATGGCATTCAGTGGCTCTGTCGGTAAGTAAGATTTCGCATGAGAAGACGGGGTCGAGCGTCATTAAGAATTTACATTAGGAAAATGAGGCCCTTTGCCGTGTCGTCCAATAGACTGAGGATCGGAAGCTGCACGCGGGTTTACCGGATCTTGCGCCAGTCACCCGCTATGAGAACAGGGGGTATCTTCATGTAGAAATCATAAATAGTTGAGCAGAATCGAAGATTTGAATCTTTAAATTTGCATGGGATTTCTGGTAAATGGAGACTCACCGCCAGCATGTGCTGATAGAGGACGTTCCCACAGCCCATACGCTGCCTGGATTCGTGGACGTAGAAGTCCAGGACGCATCGGGGTTGCAGCTGATAGTGCACACCCCTGTCGTCGAACATGAAAAGATTTTTCGAGCCCGTCTTCAGGAGTCCGACCACGCATCCGGTGCCACTGTAAAAAATTCAAAACAGACATATAGGCATACTCTTTGCAGACGTCACAAGATGCGTCATAGATTCGCGAGGTCGAGCCGGATGAATAACTGGGTCGCAAGTGGGACACGTGGTTCAAGGAAGTGCACGAAGTAACTACGAGCTTGAAATGTGCATCTCGCTTGGAACGGGTAGTTCTGGCTCCTGCTTCCAGAATTGTTAGAGTAACTCGAGCGGAATGTACATTGCGCATTCCATAATATTCAAAGCACGCGGTCACTCCCAACGTCCGGGAAAATAATTCCGGTCGTGACTCTCATCTGCCATCATCGTTAGCTAGGACGTACGGGGTTGATATTCCACCCTTTGTCAGGTCTCGGCACTAGCTCCTTCGCGCCAACATTTAAATGGCCTGATGGTCCCTCGCGAAGGGCCGCATTGAAATTTCTCAACCTGGAGGCTCAGCCCTTCGACATCGATCCGGTAGCGCACCTTCCGGCCAACTCCCCAAAATCCTCATCCCCTTCGACCCATTTACTCCGAACCCCCCGTAAACCACTATGGCTCCCGCGGCAGGGGCGCATTAGGATTAATGCAAGAATCTTTACTTGTTGGCTTCTCTGTCCACGAGCAGGTAGACTATGTGGTCGGTGTCCCTCAGCTTAATGGCGCTGGTTATTGGTTTGTTCAGGCCTTGCGCCCTGGCGGAGGCCTCGCCCATGTCGTCGAGGACCTTAGTCAGCTGTCTCTGGCATTCGCTGAAACAAGGAAGCATTCGTTGCAGCTCAACAGGCAGGGAGAACAATATTTAACGAGACTCCTGGGAAACTATTGTGCATTGATCGATCCAATTAATATTTTAGTACTGCGAGCGAACCGCCACGTTGAGCGAAGTGGGACGTCGTCAAGGACTCATTGGAAGCTGCGACTCCGTGAGGCTTTCGACCAAATTCATTAGATTTTTTTCCACCCCACGCAGAGGTTCACGGACTATTTTTAAATACGAGGGGTTGCATGGGATGCACTGGGAGTTTGTGAAGGTGAGGCGGGTGGCGGGTGGCAAGGGGAGTTAGCACCCCTCGGCCACCCAGGCCTTTCCTCTTCAATTTATGACCGTACGAAGCCTCCTAGAAGCTGAAGCTACATTGCTCGAATAGTTAGGTCTGATGGCGCAACGATTATCGATACTTTCCTGGCTGCGATATTTCATCTTAAAAGCGCCCACATATTCATATTTCAAAGGGTGGAAGGATGGGGCATTAAATTCTCCGAAATTCAATTGTGATTTTGTAATTGAATTAGTGTATATATATGTATATATAAATTAGTACTGGCTGGTACATCGAGTGTGTATACGAATCTAGGTTATGCATAACGGCTCATATAGAACAATTGGTAGAACCTCCTCCTCCTCCTCCTCCTCCTCCTCCTCCTCCTCCTCGTTTCCTCCAATTAACCAACATTCTCATGGAAGTTTTCGAATTCTCCTATTTTCTTTCTCTTTCCCAGCAACGAGTGTTTTTATGTTCGCGAAATCGCTAAGAAAATTGACGGGGAATTTTTGTACTCGGCGAAAAGAACAAGTCACGCGACTCCAAGCACGTTCACGTAAATTGGCTGCCGTACAATCGATAACGGCTGCGCCTCAGGGCAGGATATCTTGACGCTGTCAATGACTAATTGTGCAGGTGATATATTATTATTTGCGGAAAAATTCATCTAAGATTTTGTAATTCGCGACCCGATCGCTCTCTACTTCCTTGCTAATTATTGAGCCCACAGGAGGAGAGTAACCTTGAATGGTATTAAAGATTTCTCTCGTCTCTCGCGGGAGAGCAGACTGTAGCAGTCAAGGCTGAACTGCGCTTTCACGGACTGATTAGTTACATAACTGTTGAGGGAGATAGCATCGATCGGACAGCCAATCAAAGCCAAAGCCAAAGAGTGACTCCAGTGGAGTACTCCACTGGGTGCAAATTTCCATGCTCAGAGTCGCGATCGTTCGAGTGACGCAATGGTCCACGTTCAGGGTTAAAATACGGAGCGAATCGGCACTGCAGCTGTTTCTACTCTCTGGGAAGCGTCCAGAGTGGAAACGTGTACAGTTGCTAGTAGACCACGAGTAGCATGGCCGTTATGTCAGATTTATTAATACACGCTACTCTCCGGCTTTGAAGTGCCCAGCTGAGGTACCGCTTCGACAGTACGCACCAACTTTTCTTATAGTAAACTTTCTTATAGCTGGCAGCACGTGGGCCCATTAGAACAGATTTTGAAAAAATTTTATGTTCATCTAATTTTTGGAATTTTCCAGTTTATCGGTTACACCGGATGTATCGGTGCGATTTTAATTGAAATTTATAAATATGGCGAGTGCAAGCCGTTCGAGCGTGATAAGCCACTTTTGAAATTTCTTATCAACTTCTTATCGTTTGTTAAACGACGCTATTGTCATTGATAAGTAAGACGCCCGAGACACAAATGTCACGTGATTCCATTATTTAAAAGCCAATGTTAAAAATTCGTGACAACGCGAAAAGGAGCTGGAAGGTGGAATTATTTTCTTCCACTCCTTTTTCCGGTTCTAACGGTTGTTTCGCCTCGTTATGGCGAGTAGTTTTAGGCTTCAATTCTCTTCCCTCAAGCTCCTCCTCTTTGTCTTTCTTCGGCAAATCTTCCGTCTTTTCCGGTTTTATCGCTGCCTTCGAGTCCTTTTTCAATTTTGAAAATCCTATCGCTCTCATGCTTTCTATGGATTCGACCTAAGGATCCAAATGTTTATTATCATTATACTAGACTTTATTCATCCCACGTGGTTCATTTATGTCAGAAGCGTCATGTCTGGCTGACTGAAAAGTCCCCGTGCTAGGCGACGCGTGATAATCAGAGTTCCACGCATCCTTGCACCAGGCGAACCAGAAGCACCGGACGCTGCTCCGGCACATCCTGTGTGCCAGATCGCGACGTCTCTCAAGACTCATTAATATTCTTCTCAGTCCTCGGCCTTTATGATTATCTATTTTTTTCCTACAAATTAACGAGCGATCGGCACAGCGTTTAATGATCGGATGTGTCACGTGTTACAATCATTTGAGACACAAATAAAAAGTGTCCGTTCCATTCGCAGCCGACCCATTCCTGAAACCCGGAGTCTACGGTGCGTGAAGCAAGCCAAGAGAAGCAAATAGACTTTTTCTACCTAACGGGTAACTCAGCAGTAACGCAAACTCGTTCCATCTCTTTCTTCCTCGTACTTTCAGTCTGTCGCTCTGTTGTAAACTTCCGTCAGTCCCTGAGTCATTCCCTGAGAATTACACGCGAAAATAATTCACCGTTTAACCACAAACCGTTTTACGCTTTCAAAATTTTTACATCGATTCTTCAAAAACAGAATATATACTGGGTGGTAAAGTCAATCGGTACCCATGCCAGTCTCTGTATAGGAGCAGCACACGCTGGAATAACTTCCTGCCTTCTAGCAATCCCGAAGAACAACGGATACCTAAAGACGTTTCTAACCTTCGTATTGCTATAGGAAGATTGTGAAATATGGAAGACGCGGCTTCCTGGTTCGAGTATAGCTTGAACGTGAGTCATTCCGTGAGAATGACACGTGAGCGCGATCCGTAAAATAGCTATAATATAAAAATGATGCAATTTTACTTAGCCTCCTACATACGTCTGTAGATGCCGACAATTTTATCCGTAAGTCGATAACCTCTGCTGGCTTCGAAGCTGGACGCATATTCAACGGAACAATGGGTTCCCACGGAAACCCGACGAGGAGTCAGGCAATCGGACTAGACGTCTTTTAATTAATCGATAAATGATCGCTCCTGCACGTTTTACGTTTTTCGACTTTTCTCTCCGCGATTTTCATATTCTTTACGAAAATAGAGACTACGTTTGTTCAGAGCAAAATTCGTATTTCGTAGAAGGAATAAGAATCATGGCTGTGCGATTCTTTCCGCTGCCCACCAGACCTGACCTGTCCGCCCACGGGGAGACGTAGTCACGTGAAAGACTCTTTAAGACCGTGAGCGTCGCTGCTGCTGCTGATTCGCGTAGCTTTCTAAGTACTTGCTTCGTCGATGTTCAGTTGTCGGAAACTTTTTCTTTTATATTTCTCGAGAATAATATAATTCCTATTTTCGTTTCCAACTGCTATTAAAATGCGACGAAAAGCCTACTGCTCCATACCGTAACGAGGAAATTGCACAATACTGCTCGTTCGAACGCATTTCAACGAGCTACCAGCTGAGCTACTTTTTTTTGTGTTTCGAACTCCAGCCGCTTTTCGCCTACGCGGCAACACTCTGACAATGAGAGAATGGACGCTTTTGCCGATGATTGCACGAATGACTACACAGGTGTAAGATGACGCGTGAACGCTAGTGATCTTGGATTTTATACGTTAAATCGAACTTGGCAAGATCAGCTGATTGGCGATCATCGGTGCGTTAGACATGTCAACTGCTCGACCATTTCGAATCTGTCCAAGTATATGATGGAATATTATTTCTTTCGCTATTAAAATATTATGAGGAACTTTTAGAAAATTTAAAAATCTAGTCGAGCAACTTTCTTTTTTATGAACAGAGTCGAGACTCGTGGAGGACTGCGCGTCGCGTGATATGTGTAAATGGCATTTTTGACATAAGTCAACTAGCTGACACCACAGCTGCGGCCAAGTTCGAAGAATGTGTTTCGAACTTCTGGATTATCTTCGAGGAGTTATAGAAAAGATTGATGATTAATTGTGGCACGAATGCGTCATTGGGTCGCGCAAGGGACAGTGAAAGTTCTTATACGTTTTAATTGTCAGCTGAAGGAACTGAGACAACCTTCTACAGATCTACAGACGCCCTCTGTCTGGAGGTCGTCTACTTTTACACATATACCGATACTAATAGAGCATCTAACAGTAGGTTTTAAATTATTTTTGCAAATGACCACGAAGAATTAGCGATTACGGTGGTCGGGTCATCATTGATAAGGGGTTCACTCACTTGAGTTCCCGTCGGTCGCCCTTGAAATCTTCCGGAATCAGTGTTTGTCCAATCTTGTTGATTTTCCTGGGCAAGAGTTTATTCACATTGAACTTGAACTCCATTTTGCTTGCGTCACTTTTTCAATACTTTTCTCAAAATCTTGTTAAACTTCGAAAAAAAAGGTCTTCGACGTAAACGAAGCGAGCGGCGTAAAATGAAGCTGCTGGCTAAGAGGAAGCCGAGTCTGAGGTTGCTCCGAGGATCGATCGAGTCTGATGCCCGATGAGACAATTCGTGACGTTTCGTGACGTTTCGTAAACACAACGACACAACTTTCTTAACCTTACAACTCAATAGATTTTCTGTAAACACTCGCGCTTCTTAATCAGACGATTAATAAGTCGATTCTTTGACGGACACTCGGATAATGTCTCTACCAAACAAGAATCTACGTATTGTGGGAGGAGCGAGAGTAAAATCCTTAGTTAACTCTCTATTGGTAGGAATTCATCGACTGACGTAAAATCGATGAAGACTCCAGTAGGGATGCTGGCTTGTCCTCCTCTTCCTCTAGTGGATACACTAGTGTCTTATGTTAACCGGGATGTGCGTCCCATCGCCCGAGGGATGATCTTATCTTTTCGGGGTCCTGTATCGGGTATAGGGTCGAACCCGTGACGTGTGACCCTATGCCACAGTCAATGAAAATTCGCGATACTCCGGGTTGACGGTACACCTCGGCTCGAGAGTCACGCGACTACCTGGTGGACCCTCCGCTTGTCCGGACTTCACTAGCGGAGCGCGCCTTCATTTTTTTCCAGAAAGCCGCGCGCTGAGCTGCGCGTGCAACGAAGGCCGTGCTAGATGGCTGGTTGGTGGCTGGCTGGTGGCTGGCTGGTGGCTGGCTGGTGGCTGGCACATTCACAACCAAGTCAAATGAACATTGCGCTCGCGCATACTTTCGCTAGAGAACTCTAGTTGACTGCCGGACAAAAGTCTATTCTCTGGGACAGGAAGATCCCTGCAAGACCATGCATAGATGGCACAACTGTTGATAACTTTACGTAAGGTATTATAGAAATATTCTAATCACGCAATGCATTATGGGAACTATCAGGCTTTACCTTATTAATATCGAATAAGGGCCTGGTAGCAAATCAGGCACCCGTGATGGAATTTCTGATCGGGCTACACTTGTATTTTTGAGTTATTGTCGATTTTTGTGAAGCATGTCGATACTGTCAAAATATTGAATGGCCGCTGATATCATTAGATTGTGGCGGGAAACGAATGGGGAATTTGATCTTAGATGCGGCAACTTCAGGTGTCTTGGGATGAAACATACTCAAAGTTAGGAGAAATATACTTAAAGATCCCGATAGTAATCTCCCTTTCTATACCTTTATTTTACAGAAATAAATCGAATGCGTGCTATTAAAATACGGTAAAATGTGTCGTAAATTTTTAGGATGTACCAATAAAAATAAGAACATGAAGAAGAACTATTAAGATCTTCAGAATCCATTCCGCAGATTCACAGTCCGTCCTGTAACCGACAGTTAAAAAATTGAAACCCAAAAACAACATCAGTCGATGATTTAACAACTAATAATCTCCTCGGTTGATGGAAGATAGGAGTAATTTAAAAAATAATAATTATTGATAGCTAAAACGTAGCACATGAAGTTAGTACGTTATCGCGCAAACGTAACGTTAGCATTCAGTAGGTAAGTCGATTGCGACTTTCCGTGTTTCCTACCCTCACGTGATACCAAACCCAGGTATAATACTTGGTCTGTTTATTTTTAGTCAGGTGTCGCTGTCATCCGCAGTTCGATTTACCGACTGATCGTTACGAATGTACAGAATACTGTTGTATGCCAACTAGTAAACAAGACAATAACAAATTACGAAATTACGAAAAACGTTAGTTTCTTTTTATCATACTTGTAGGCCTCGAAAATTCGTATCTGGATCATAATTCGACATCGGTGAGGATTCAAATCCCGCGCTTTTATTTTGGAAGGACTAATGTTTATAACCTCGAGTGCGAAATATTGAAAAATTTAATCATCGTGATTTATAATTTAACTATATAAAAATAAATATGTACATCTTTGAAGCAAGGGTGTTCTTATCCCTTGTCCAATCTCCGTAGTCTCATTTCATTTTACAGATCCAGATCTAAAGCCTAAAAACTAAAGGTGTCCTTCGATATTCCCGCTTTGATATACTTAACACTAAACGTACCATTGACCGTTTTAAAGCCAAAAATACGTTGAACAAAAATTGTCGGTATGTGTAGCGTTAATAACAAAAATTCCATCTACTTCTGGACCGCAATCTTGGTAGTAGGACATTGTCCTCAATAAACGAGTGGTTCTCGTCGTATCTCGTCCAGTCGTTAACTCTCTATCCCTACTCCGGACCCTTAGAGATGATAGCACCAGGTGTTATATTCAAGGTAGTATAGCTAGCCAGGTGCTATATAGTGTCCACTAGTACCAGTAGACCGGAAGAAGTATCTTCAGACACTAGAAGGTGCACTGGTACACTGTGACACCACCAGAGGAATAGCGTTGCGTGCCGGGCCGCACTCCACCGCACTCTTCCCAAGTTCGCAGTCTCGCGTTGACCGCGAGCCTGTGCATAACGTGCCGTTGCGATTCCGATTCGTCTTTCCACACTTTGAATTTCGAAGGCATACCGGTGCTGGTTCCGCATCCATCCTAAAGTCGTCCTCGTAACGCGATCGGCATTGAACGAGTGAATTGGTGTGATGGGAGAGAAGTAAATATGAACTTTGTAAATCGTGACTGTCTGGAATTGTGTTAGACATTGTATCGTGAATGAAGAAGCATCAGTACTTTTCAGCATCTCTGAGCAAGTTCTATCGGTGTAATACAAAACGTACTATATCTACTACGGAATATTTCCAACGACGAAAGCCCGTTATTCCGTCCAGCGACTCTCAACTTACCCTCGAAACGGCTTTTGCCGCCCCATTTGTTATTCAGGTGACACAGAATCTTTCCTTCCTTCCTTCCATCTATTTATGCTTGTTCTGATTATCTTTTTATCTTCTCAGAACGATTTCTTTCCCGCGATGATTAATGGCCGACCTTTTCTGGCAGCTTCTATTTTTCCTGACTTATTGCTTTTGTTTTTTGACATGTCGTCCTAACCGTCTCTAGTCTCTACTATACAGTTGAAGGTAGTTTGGTACTTTTTGTATTCCTTGTTCTGATGTTCAAGTGTAATAATTGTACTTTTTTTTAAACGGAAGATATTTCACGATTATTTTTTAAAGACCGACTGGGCTAAATAGAGCATGAGACATATTGAAAATGCAAAATGTATGTTGTTAAATGTTTGTTATGCCTACGTGAGTGTTATTTTATGCATATTGCAGTTGTATTATTCGAAGCGTTTGTAAAGATTTCGTGGAATTTGACAAAGAAGCAGTTGCTTTTAACTGGGACATTTGGCAAGTAAAGAAAAGAGCTTTCCAGCAGCATGAAGTGGCACGCATATTCTGTTAGTCTTTGAAGTTCTTTTATTTCGTATCTGCTTAATGTAAATATGCGGGCAAAGTTTACTGGCCTAATTACCGCGAAGAGGTTTCGCTTCGGACGAAGAAGACGCGTAAAGCGCCATGAAAATATTTCCAATCTTTTTTCCAGACAAAAAATACTGACGTACGAACTTGTCTCGTAACAGTCGCTAATTATTCCATATTCTGAAATCGTCGTTCGCACAAATCTTCTCGCTCAATAAAACATCACTCATTGTGAGTCACATAGGTACACAGGGAATCCCAGAATCATTAAGGTGCATACGTTAACGTTAAATGTTTTACATTAATCTCACTTTAAAATCATGCAGAAAATTAACGAGGTACTTCGTAAAAATAAAATACGTCTATCCAATTACTATTTCTGGAATTATAGTATAAGTATAGTATAAGTATAATAATATAGTCTTTTACGTCGTTCTCAAAGTCTATTATCTCAAAAGTAATAGCCTAACATTCAATAACGAATTTGAACCGATCCCCTGGAACGACAGTATATGGACGAAAAAGTAAAGAAAATAATGAAATAGGCGTGTACCAGTTATTCGCCGCTATTTCATGACCATTTTATCGGGCTTTACGAGCGCTCGGGACCCGTTACTTCTGGCGTGCGTCAGTGCCGTTAGTGAAAGCCGAAGCAGCCGGACATTTTTCTTAAAAATAATTTGTATACATGCGAAGCCGACCCGAGAGTCGACTACTTCCTTTTAATGTAAATAAAACGGTAAAAGTTGCCCGTGAACACTGAACGTGACCGGAATATGCATTTCCGGCCAATGCACCGAACAGGCAGGAAACACGGCATGTTTGACGCAAATCTATAATTATTCCGGCCTTTCTTTTTCTTCAATAAAAAAAAAAACTTTCCACGCAAATGCTAATTTTTTAAATTTAACCTTTTCTACAAATGTCAATGACGCCAAGGCACTTTTAGGGATCGTGGGTTGTGCCTAAATACATAGAGATATGATACCGATAAAAACGCGTAGGCCAAATTCAAATCGGCCTTAACCTTCAAATAATGCCTCAAAGAATTTCGCAATGACGGCAGTGAAAGAAATTGGGGACGCGTGTGATTCATATCGAGCGACGCTCCTTTCTCGAAATTGTAAATAAAAGCGAGAGATTTCATTTTTAAGGAACTCAGTAGTTCCTCGAATTCCAGACGTTACGGAGAAGAAGAGAAGAGAAAGAGGCCCAATAAAAAAAAACCATCTGCTTCGATCAAAGTAATCTGAAAATTATTACCCGCCATTTTTTATTCACTTCAGTACATCTCGAGGAATTTTTATACATTTTTTGTAACTAACATGGTTTTTATTGTTTCAGAATGTTACGTATATTATTAGTCGTGACAGTGGCCTTCGTAGGTGCTAATGGGATCGCCATTGGACAAGAAACATCAGGAGACTCTGAACTTGCAAGACACTACAATTCTCGTTATTCGATCTTCGACGAGCCATACAATATCGAATTCAAGTATCACAATTATGAACAAATGAGTCGATTTCTAAGGACGACCTCCTTGCGCTTCCAGAATCTCACTGCTCTATATTCGATCGGAAAGTCTGTCAAGGGTAAAGACATTACTTCGTAGCAATATTTCATCTTCATCAACATACTATCAAAGATCCTACCGAAATTTGTGGTTCCCATTAACATTGAGGACTCCAGCCCTTATCGTACCCTGTTTATCGGGATAGCGTGTCCTGGAACATTCCCGAGCAACGATTGCTGCTCGACGATGTTAACCGATTATGACACGCATGCATTGTATATTCTCATTTCCGGCAAAACAGTGACAATAGACGATGTGATTACATAAGAATTTGTATACTGTCCGTTAGGCCGCGATTTGTGGGTAATGGTCGTCTCATCCTCTCCATATGAACACATGATCGGTAAACCGGATGTCAAATATGTGGCGAACATACATGGAAACGAGGCCGTAGGACGTGAACTTATGCTACACCTTATTCACGTATGTAATTGTATAATTTTTCATTATTAATTAATTTTTTTATCATTAAGTTGAAATTCGTATTCGCGCGGAATATATTTTTCGTGTGGTAAAACCTTAATGAATATTTTCAAGGATCGTGTCTGTCCAACCTAACCTAACCTCACTTTGTGTCCTTGCTTGAAAGACCTTATCGGAAACGACGACGTCATATTTACAGCCCCATGAGAATCTGTAGGTGCTGTAGCAGCGCATGGTAACTCTCGTAATTATTCTGCCGCTTACTATTGTTCACGCCGTTCTGAGTATCGAAGGTCGACCTTTAGTCATTTATTCCCACTTCACGCTCGATCTTAATTACCATTCACACGATCAAGTCGAATTTCCGAGATGGGTTTTTCTTGTCGGATTGTATTTGTTACCACTTGTTTACTAGTAACAGCACAGACGTTTGATAATATTTTATGCTAATTAAATTCATGAGAAACTTTATAATAAAAAATTTTAATTTGATTTATGTAATATACGTAACCATTTTCATGTTTTTCATGTGAAAAAGGATGAACTTCTTTAAATTCGTGTTTCGTCGGGTGAATTAAATCAATTCGCTCACTGTTGCTAATTAGACCGTATAAGATATCGTTAACGTTGCTGCCTGAGAGAAATACTGACATTTGTGTATCACAAAATTGCGCGATTAATTAATTATTAACTGTCACGTGATTTGCGTGAATGAATTACTTATTATTGATTATTAAATTGTTCGGTAAAAGTTTGTTAACAATATTTTTCGTTCGACAGTTATTGGTTACGAAATATGGATCAGATCAATACATCACTTGGCTGTTGGATAACACACGTATTCATATACTACCGTCAATGAATCCGGACGGCTTTGAGGTCTCTAAAGAAGGGTCCTGTGACGGTGGTCAGGGCCGGTGAGTGTCGAATACAACAAATATATAGAGAATTTGGACACTCTAAATATATCCAGCTATGAATTGATTTATCGACAAACTTTTTTTTACTTTCTTCCTTTGTACAGATACAATGCTCGCGGTTTCGATTTGAATCGAAATTTCCCGGATTACTTTAAACAGAACAATAAAAAGAGTCAACCGGAAACGGAAGCGGTTAAGGAGTGGGTTTCGAAAATTCAATTTGTTCTCTCCGGAAGTCTTCACGGTGGCGCCCTTGTCGCCAGCTACCCGTTTGACAATACTCCGAATTCACGTGAGTGAGATTTTCTCATTTTTCAGTTTTCCAACATTGTCTCTGGTATCTTTTGTTTATTCTATGGGATGTTCCGCATCCGGTGGAAAAGAATTTCGAATGACGTCAAGTCGTCACCTTGTGAAGGTAGCGATTAATCCAAGTAGAAAGTGTGATGGATGAACAATGAACAATGGGACAGTGTTAAAACGAGGATAATTTTCCGGTAAATTAATTCTTCGTGCGTTCGAAACTTCAGTTGCGCAAGAATTTCATTTTCCTTTTCTTTCTCTTTGGGTTTTTGTTTAGTCACAAAATTACTGTGTTCATTAAAAACGCCCTATTTACTAAATATTATTTACCATCTCTATTTAGTATTTAAAAAATATCATTCTTTTGTTATCAAACTTGACTTAACGTTGCCTGTAAATTTTCATGCAATCAGGAATATGTCGTTCGGCTCCGTTGTGTGCAGGTATTGTGAAAAAAAATACTTTACAATCGTTTACTCATCAGTGGACGATTAACGACGTTCTCTAATCACTCTAATATTTTCTATATACGGACCGAACGGCCAAACGTACTTGAAATTTTGTCAATTTGTTACCCAAAATTAAAAGTAGAATAACGACGCTGATATTGAAGAGAAAAAAAGAAGCAGGAGTTTTCATGAGTTTTTAACATTTTTCATTCCTCTCCTGTATCATTATTACATCGTGATCATCACAGTGTTTCAGAGTTACACATCCACACCGAGTCTCTCGCCTGATGATGACGTGTTCCGTCATCTATCATTGACTTATTCACAAAATCATGGCTCCATGTTCCGCGGTGCAGCGTGTTCAGCTTCACAACCGGGATTCAAGCACGGCATAACAAACGGTGCCGAATGGTATCCGCTAACCGGAGGAATGCAAGATTTCAACTACGTCTGGAATGGCTGCATGGAAATAACCTTAGAATTGTCTTGCTGCAAGTATCCTCCGGCTGAAGATCTGCCACATTATTGGGAAGAAAATCGAGTGGTATGTTTTACGTCAGTATAAAAGAATTTTTAAATATAATTTTTACAAAATACGCGTCCTTCTTCCAGTCCCTGATAAAGTTCCTGGCCGAAGCGCACAGAGGTGTCCATGGATTCGTAATTGATGAAAATGGAAATCCGGTCGAACGGGCTTCGGTCAAGGTCAAATCTAGGGACATTAGTTTTTTCACCACCAAATACGGCGAATTCTGGAGGATACTCTTACCTGGAGTTTACAAACTCGAGGTTAGTTTACCGATTATCATTAAAGTTCAGATTACAGGTATCTTGTTTACGAAAAATTCAAAATTGGCCTATTTTTCGAATTATTTAATCAAGTAAGTTTCCTTTCTGTTGTACAGGTTTACGCGAATGGCTACAGCCCGCGTGAAATTGAATTCATGGTAATTGAACAGCATCCCACCCTACTCAACATTACCCTCCACACCACAAAGGTAAGTCTAACGTTAGTTCTGATGTCACAGAAACATTGTATATAATTATACAAAAGTACTAACGGATTTTTCATACAGGGAAAGTATAATGTTTAAAATTCTAATCGCGTGGATTATATGGCTAATAATAGACAATGGGTGACAATGTTTTACAGTTGGGAAATGTGACTCCTAACGGTATTCAGGTGGCTGAGACGTTTTTATTTCTCTTCTGTAAACTTAAATTAATGTCTCACTTTTACTTTTAAAACACCCTGTATAATAAAGCCATGTAAACCAACCCCCCCACTGTGCTATAAATTCCAAGTGCCGAAGACGGCGATAAATGATTTGACGTTATTCTCCAATTACCAAATACGTCAATGTAGATGCACTCGATTCTCCTTTATCTTTGTCCGTGTAATCTGATATCCCCTCAGGCGAGATGGTTTGAAAATGGTGGCGCTCGCGACTTCCTGTATATAATGCGAATAAGTGGTACGAGTGCGAATGGTGGTGTAGTTTCAGAGACGGAAGCCAAGTCGCAAAACCGACGATGGCGAGGAGGTCCAGGGCTGGGAACCGGAAACGGAAGCGAGGGCCGAAGTAACGGGCTCCGTCACGCGCGTTACTTCCTCGGCGTCTTCTCTTCCGGCCGCCGACACCATCGTCTTTCCTACCTCATAATCTAGTCCTCAGTGTCCCCATAAAGTCCCCCCTGTAATTTAGCCGGCTAGCTCCCTTCCACGCACGAGTAACGTGTAAGTAATCGAGTAATTCGCAATCGGCCGTTAACTGTGCTTTCATTTCATTGCCAACCGATTTATCGATGTCGATCCTTCATTTTCCGCGTGTTCGGCTTACATGCGATGTTTTATTCTTCTTAGCTACGATTTTCCTCTGCATCCTCTTTTCCGCATTCCTTTGTTTACCCTGCCACCGCAATATAACCATAAGCTCGCATAGAACAGACGCAACGACCATATTATTCTAACAGTTGGCATTACTAACTCGGCCAATTCCAGATATTCTTTAACGCATTCTTTGCAACTCTGTGGAAATCGCGCTTTGATATATTTATACATTTGTGTGTTTATGACATTCTCTTGGGTTTTGTAATTTGACGTTAATGCCTCTGTCCAACTAATAATTTAATGTATTTCGTATGATTTTGTCATTCGGTGGATTCTTAGTAAATCCAATAAGGTCGTGCATTATTTGCCGTTATAACCATGATCGTTTTTATTTTAATTGAGAGGGAGAGAAAAATAAGGAAAATTGATTAAAAGAAAACGCCGAGGATGCGATCTCTTTATCCTTTAACGATTTTGACCCAGATACGAATTTAGCCGGGGCACTCCAATTTCGTCCGACTCGAATCCTGATATCTTTGCAAAGTAATTCGATCACGTCTAAAAGCGTCCTCGGAGGCGAATTCTTTATCGTCCTGGTTATCTTTCAGGATTAGTTTTCTCCATCCCGAAGGAGACACGGAACATACGTATACGTTGTACATAAGTAACTATGTATAAGTATCTAGGTGGTATGTATATCTATTAGTGCATATGGAATCTCTCTCTCTCTCTCTCTCTCTCTCTCTCTCTCTCTCTCTCTCTCTCTCTCTCTCTCTCTCTCTAAATATATATATATATATATCCACCTGTCTAACATTTCTCCATGAACGTGTTCATCTTAAATTTGAATCATTCAATAAATCGCGAACGCCTCGGCCTCGCCTCGATTGTACTTCTCGTGCGTGCATGTGCCAGCTGTTTTAATCAATCAATGGCTCATTACGCTAATTAATATTTATAATTGTCACGGCATAAATCGTACTTTAATTCGTAGCTCTATTAATAAATGGTGCTGTACTGCGGATGCTAATTAGCTGACGCTATTAATATCTAGGTATAACGATGCTTGCATTTTTCACACGTGCTTATTGCTACTTTTATTATCAAGGCACGGTAGACTGATAGTAAATCTGATGAATATTTAAATGATATTAAATTTTTAACAAACGTCCAATTAAACTGATTCATTTTTATTCCAAGCATTCTCATTGTCGAGTCATCATTATTGTCTTGTTCGTCGAGAGGTTACGAAAGACTTTAATTTTTATGCTGATCGCTTGGCTGGCGTTGACAAGAAAAAGATTTTATAAGAATTCCTCAAATTTTGTTCTGCGAGGAGGATAAGGGAAAAAAAACTTTACGAAGAGAATTTAATTTCGCTGTGGTTAATTTTTTTTAGCAGTTTAATTTCAGTGTACTTCTCAGTCTACGTGTCGTATTTATAATTGAAATTGGAAATGCCATCGGGTTGTGCAACTTTTTTTTTTTTGAAATTATTTTTCAGAGACTGGACGACATCGGTGACGATGCTCCAGGACATTACACGGGCATAAACGGTCCCTTGAGGCCCTATCCTCACAGGGACTACACTCTACATTTAAGACCAAGTTCCGGTGCTAACACTGCCGGCGATTCCAGCAACGGAATCTTCTCCTCGATCAGCAACGGCTTCAATTCCCTTGTGACCAATCTATTCGGCTGATCTTGCGCCATTTTCACCCTTCTTAGAGCCCCTCCCTTCAATCTCAATATCCTCTCTATCGCCCTTCCCATTCTACTCCTACTCCTCATCACCAGTAGAGCACTTCCGGGACTCATCAGGACTCTTCGGGAAGGCTGATTGTTATTGCTGATCGAACGCGTCTGCGAATAACTGCCCTTTCACCAATCATCATCATCTTCAGCGCGACGTCGATCAGTGTTGTTTGCGCATTTCCCCTGCCAATCGATCCCCATTACGCGTATTCAATTGGAAATCATTTAATTATTTTCCTCCCTTCCATTTATACATTATTCCGCAAGAGGATATCCAATGTACTCTTACTTTGATATTTTATTAGCGCGAGCGTCATTCTTATGTATTTATTCGATTAACTTTCGAACTGATTTATTGTGCTAGCTGATTAACGGACGAATCTCTTTTTATACGTAGATTATTGTATCAACGAAATCATACAGGGCACCTTGGTGATATATATATCTGTACGTTAAGGTGGTCGTAAGGGACTTTACGGTTTGTGCGTAAATACGGGGATCCATGGATTTTTATTAATTCTTATGTAATGGGTTAATTGTTAAATTAAGTTCGCCAAGGACTAATTGCAATTTCAAATGCGGACCAGACTTATGAACAAAATATACGTGTGTATGCAGGGTGTCTCATCGAAAGTTCGCACCTCGATTATTTTCGTTACTATTGAAGATACGGGAAAAAATGTCAGACAAAGGTTGTATGGTTTAAAGGGGGTCAATTTTTCATCGAAATGATTTTTTTTTTATATTCGTTTGATTTCGAAATACAGCACGTTACGTGTTTTTTTTTTTTAATACAACATCATTTACTTGCAGACTAAAATCCATCCAGCCATTTTCAAGTTATTGAGAAGTGAATTTATTGAACAATCTTCGTTTGCAGCGCCGCTTCATTAATTCACTTCTCAATAACTTGGAAATGGCTGGATGGATTTTAGTTTGCAAGGTCTCAAAATGTTAAGGAACAAACGTGAAAAATCGAATCCCTTGAAACCATACAAATTTTGTCCGAAACTTTTCTTCGTATTTTCATTAGTAACGGAGATAATCAACGAGCGCACCTTCGGTGAGGTACCCTGTATACATATATCGACAGAATAAAGTCAATTATCATTTTAATTAGAGCTATCGGTTAATTTTAGATAATTCGCGAACGGGGTGTATAGTCAAAACAGTATTATTGGCGTTTCAGCTACTCCGGACGATTATTTTTTAATTTCCGCATGTTACTTTTATGGACCATTTACGAAATAGAAGGAAAAATAATCCCTTGTTTCTGGCCAAATATAATATTATTATTCTTGTTATTGGTCATTGTTATTAATATTGTTATTTAGCACTGCGATACGGCCCAATAACGTATTCAGAGAAGTTAACTGCAATAGTAGTGCATATACTGGTATATTGATTACGTAACATTAGGCATTCATTCACCCGGCTGCCCGTGTCGAAGTATCTTCTTCTATCTAAAGATGACGCCATGCACATTACGTTATTGAGTTACGAAAAAGGCGAATGAAAGAAAAATATCCCCAATAACGTGTTCCGAAATCGCATTCCCCCCCCCCCCCC